ACTTAACTTTGTTGAATGCTCTGCTCTCTCTCACCCCCTATCCCCCAATCTTTTATGGCTTTTTGCCTTTAATCTATTATTATAATATATTATGTATTATATCATGTAGTTTTGGTCTTTAATCTGTTAATGTAATGCATGTGGATAAGGCAAAAAGCATTACTACAAAATCACAGAAACCTTGATTAATCAAAACCCTCACAATGTGAAGCTATTGTTTTCTTCGCATATCCTCCTATACACTTCTGAAAAGTGCGTTTCAGTCTCTCTATTTATCAGAGAATTATGAGCTCCTTGATTTGCACCACATCTAAATCATCTATGAGGGGCTCCATGTGTTCTTTTAAATGTGCCTTCAGTTCGGAGGACAAAAAAGAAGTCTAAAGGGCCAAGAGCAAAGCTATAGGGTGGATAGGGCTGTATTTCCCATCAGAACTCTTGTAGCACCACCCTTGCTACTTTCAAAGGATGAGCAGGCGCACTGTCGTCATGGAAAGGGGCAAGGGGCAGGATCCTTGCTGTGGTGTGATGGACCCTTTTTATATGACCTTTTCACCATGGTTTTGTAATTCCCATCAAATTGGGATTATGCAAATAAGGTGCTTGTGGCCCATCAGAGGGAGTAGATATCATGCTAATAAGGGACATGGCACCCTTTGGGGGTGGCATCATTTCAAATAAAGTGCATGTAACCCTAACAAAGGGGTTGGTTGGGTTTGACATCCTACTAGACAGAAAGTGAGCCATCCCAAAGATGGAAAGAGACACTTCACCAGCACCACCAAGAAGAGATGGGAACAGGGTGTGTTCTTTGGATCCAGGGGCCCTTCACTAAAAAGTGCCTAAACCAGAAACAGATAGAAATATGATATGGAGAAACCAAGAGGTGACACAATGGCAGGAGAGGCGGCACAACCAAAGGACCCACATGAGACAGTATAGTGGGCTTCCTGACCTAAGGAGAGAGAAGGCTGAGTGCCTTTATGCAGGAGGCTTATTGGCAGGGTGTGGCACCTCTGGGCACTTAGTGAAGGTTCACTTACCAATCCATGGAGCTACAGAGCTCAGTGCCTCCAGGCCGAGCTCATGGATGGAATGGGGGGCCTTTGGGCACTTAACCTACAGGGCTAAAGAACATTGTAACAGAACAGGATTGTAACAGGATAGAAGCTGGACCAGCCCCAGAGGACCATGGAAAGGACTGTGTGTATGGATCTGGCTAAGAAGCTGTCCTGACCAAAGAACTGTATCCCAATCCTGAATTGTAACCTGTTACTTCCTGTTAACCAGTGTTCTCTAGAGAAGCAAACCAGAGATACATGCCCATACATATGAAGAAAGAAATTTATATCAAGAAAGTAGCTTACACAGTTGTAGAAGTGGGTAAGTTTAGTCTAGGTCAAGTCCAAGGGTCAGATATGAATTGGAGGTTTTTCCTGGCTCTCATAGTTGCCAGGACTGCCAAACCAGGAAGCAAGAAGATAAACCAAGAAGCGGGAAGACCATAGATGGCAGATCCAGAGGTGGATGAAGCCAAGATTGGCAGATCAAATGACAGGTTCTGATGACTTCTAGGATCAACAGGCAATATGGCAGGCCATTGATTCAAGTCCAAAGAACCAGAGGTTGAAGAGCCAGGTGTAGTGTACAAACCAGCAAGAAGTGAAGAAGCTCTCTACAGCACCTACTTATATATGAAGTAGGCCACAGCCCTGAGGAAACATTGACCGGGCTGTGACTTGAGTCAAGGTTACCCCCCACCCTAATCTCCCCTTAACTGCTTAACCACTCATAGCAAACTCCTTCACGGAGTTGCTTACATTATATTAGATCACATCATGTGGAAGGCTACAACTGCCAAACTACTGAGAATCCTGATGCAACCAAGATGACACAACACTCAACTATCACACTTCCCTAATAAACCCCAGGATTGTGAGTGTTGTGTGGGAGCTGTGTGGCCATTGCAACTAATTATTGAACCCAGTTGGGAGGGCCAGTGGGTGTCAAGAGGTATGCTTGATCGTCTCTTCATCAGAATCAGCCTTGGGCTGAGGCTGATGGCAGTTCTTGCTCACCTCACCCTTCCTGTGATTAGAGGACAGATGCCACCATGCCATTTTCAAATAGACTCGGGCATACTTTGCTAGATGAAGCGACTGCTGCCCTGTTGTGAGGAGCACAGAGACGCTACATTAGCCAACCAGCTACAACGTAATGTAGTCATTACGTGTTGGGCTGAGATCCACAAGGTTGGCAGTTCGAGACCACCAGCCACTCTGCAGGAGAAAGATGGGGGAGGGAACCTGTAATCCCAGGGCATCTTATACTCTCCAGTACAGAATGGCCAGCCTGTGTAGGAAAACCCACTTTAGCCACAGAGGAAACTAAGCACTCCCAGGGAAAGGAGTGGAAGTTTAGGCCCAGGGCAGTTTTCCAGATAGATGAAAAAACTGCCTTTGGCTTGCCAGTACCGGTCTTGCAGACCTCGAGGAAGGATCTGTCTGCCCATTACTTGTCTTCTTCACACCGCGTTCACTGGGACCTGAATAGCCTGTTTTGTACACACAGGTAGGAACCTGTCTTCTCTTCCTGGCTCCATGCCCAGTCTGGAACTTATCTGGCATTTAACATAAGTGATTCACAAAGAAAAGATGGATATCGCATCAGTGTGCTTCTGCCTTTAAAAGGGACTCCTTTCTGGGCCCCTAACTAGTGACATCCTCACTGGCTTCGAGCCTCTCCTGCCTTGTCACTCACTGGTAGGTAACCTGAGATGAGGAGGCGGTGGCACGGGCGGGCGAGGTGTTTGCTGAAATGTCGGGCTTGGTTGGCTAATGTAGCGCCTGCGAAAGACAGGATGTTCTTGCTTCTCCGGGAACCTGGGACACTGCAGTCCTCTCAGGAGCAATCAGCTGCTGTCTTGGCACACTCACTGCCCGAGGGAATATCCACCGCAGCATGTGACAGGGTGTCCTTAAGCAACAAGGGTGTCACCAGGCTCACGGTTGAAGTGTTGTCATAACACTCCCCTCTGTGCCTGAGCGGGTGGTCGATTTCTCTGCAACCTTGATGCTGTACAGCTGTACAGACTCGGAAGGCTGGGGACCTGGTGGGCCCGGGAATTTGGCTCCCCCCTCGATGGGCTGCTTTCTGGCTCAGCTGCCTTGGGCAAGTGAGTCTTTCTCTGGGAGTCGGTGCCTGCCTGAAATGAGGACCGTAATAGGATTACGTGCCTTCCGGGTGATTGCCCATAAGCTCTTAGCACAGAGTCTGCCATGCAGCAAGCACTCAGAGAAATGTTCACTACTCTCTGTGTTGGTTCAGTGGTAGAATTGGCCCCTGCCGTGTGGGAGACACAGGTTGGATTCCCAGCCAGTGGGCCTCCAGTGCCGAAAGCACCCGTCTCCTGGTGGAGGCTTGGGTGTTTCTACGTATCATGCAGACCAGGTGTCAGTGGAAATTCTAAGACTAGGAATAAATCTTAAATCTACAGCCGAAAAACATTCGGTGTGTGACCATATGAGTCGCAGTGGTTGGATTTGCATCCAATCATGGGGGTGGGAGAGGACCGGACAGCATTTCGTCCCAGTGTGTGCGGGCTGGGCCAGCATGAGTCAGGGGCCGACTCGGTGGCAGCTCCGGACACCACTGACTGCTGTTCTCTTCGCGGTCCTCTGAACTCTTTCACTTGCACTTGGAGATCTTGCACATGCTGACTGTTGTTCTAACAGCTGCATCCCATGCTGCTGGGTCCATTCCTACTCATCGTGACCCTACGGAGGATTTTCTGTATGGGGCTCCCTAAAGGTCCATCGGGTTTCCCTCCATAGGTGCGCCCACATAGACTGACCGCCTCACAAGGTAGTTAATATTCATGGAAGCCAAGAGCCTCAACAGCCTCCCGAGGAATGGCTGTGAGTTTGAACTGCCACTGTGGGGGGCTAGGAGTGCAACGCTTACCCCAAAATAGTATTGGATCATGTGGGATCCTGCTCTCTCCCCAAGCCTGCCCCTTCTCCAGTTTGGCTGATAGCACAGACTGGTCACTGAAGCTACAGGCCTACCTCAGTGGCTCTCCGCTTCTCTTTAACCCCCATATCCATGAAGTTCTGCTCATATTTGTTCCTAGACAGGTTTGTCATCTGTCCCTTACTCTTGATTATTAATGTCCTGCCGTAGTTTACTCGAATGCCAATTGTTCTGTGGACTATCTGCTGCCAGGCCCGCTCCCAAAAAACCCACAAACACACAGTAACCCCATTCGTGCAGAGTCGAACTGCATTTCCATGGCTTTCCATGGCTGGGACCTTTCAGAAACCAACCAACAGGCCTTTCATCCTAGATGGCTTGACACTGCCTACTTTTTAACTAGTAAGTGAATGCTTAACTGTCTATAATACCTTAGGACTCCTGTTGCCAACCCACCTGCCCTTCACAGGCCAAATCCGAACACGTAGCTCCTCTATGTGGTGCATGGTAATGTGGTATCCGAGACACTTATTGCTGGCTATACGGTTTAATGATGATGACCACTTCTGGGGCAGCATCTCCCCAGCCCATAGTTATTTCTTAGAGAGACGTGGGTGCACTGCACAGAGGCTCCTATAGATGTGCACAGGCCCAGGAAGTATGCGAACACTGGACCCTAGAAGCCATTTTGGAAGTCTCTAGGGCTCAGCTTTCAGTACCCCTGGTGGAGTAGTGATTTTGCATTGGGCTACAAACCACCAGATCAGCATTTTGAAATCACCAGCCACTCCTCGGGAGACAGACTGGGCTTTCCATGGCCATAAAGAGTTGCAGTCTTGAAACCCTACAGGGCCAGGGCCAGTTCTACCCTGCTCTATAGGTTCACTATGAGTTGGACTGATGCAATGTCAGGGAGTGTGGGGGACCAGCCCCCACCACTGAATGGGTCCCAGGGGGTGGTTGTGTAATTGAAGGGTAAATTAAAGAGACATGAGACAAGGCATAGCATGCAAGGGCTTACCTCCACCATGACTTACAGGAGCCAGGTCCGAGGGCGGAATGTATTCTCGCGAGTTTGTATAATCTTGGGTGCACAAGCCAAGGTAAGCACATTTGTAACAGGAAGGGATTGTACTAGAGGCATACACGTAACAGGAGGGGGACGAGCTAGGGGTATGCACACAATAGGAAGGGGAGGTGGTAGAGGCATACATGTGGCAGGAAGGTACATGTGTAACAAGATGGGCGGGCTTTAGACTTAAGATGGCAGCCTAACCTTGTTCATCCCTGAGCTGGCTTGACCTTGGGTGTCTTTGAACTCTTCTCCAGAGGAATAACCTAGGATCCTTCTCGGAGGGGAGTGAGCCCTACTTAGGGTGGGACAGACAATAGGGACTGATGGCTTTTGATGGCACACAACCATCAGGCAGCTAGCCTTCAAGCAGTTGACCTCCAAGTGCATAGTAAGCGACCCTGTGTTTGCACCTTAAATTTGGCTTTAGTATGGGGGGACATTGAGGGGAATGACTTTTACTTAGGAGAATGTGACTGGAATGCATGTCCAACCTACAGAAGAGAAGGTTCCCTCCATGGGAGCCCAGCTTCCCAGACCCCTTAAAGTATGAATGTTTGTCCACATACTCTCTCTTCCTGGTATTGGTCCCCACAAGTGAGTTTGCTTGTTTGTTTGCTTGCTTGCTTGCTTTGCGGCTTAGCTAAGGAGTTGAGGCTCTGTGTTGTTGACAGACGTCAGGCCTTGCTGTCCTTCCCAGCAAAGTTCTGAAGGAGACGAGGTGACTGTGAAGGCAACCAGCCAACACCCTGCCCCGGTTACTCATGGCACAAGCTCACACTTCAAACTCCTGACATGCCATGCCACAGTGTATATCCAAGCTGGTTTCTTCCAGGTTCCTGCTGACCGCGAGCCTGCCCTGCCCTGTGCGCGGGGCAGTCTCCTCCAGAGAGCTTGTCTAGTCCTGCCCACCACCCCTTGTGGGCTCCGCTCTGTTTTGACTCATTGTATTAAAGTGAAACGTCCCTGTGTTTCATCCCTCCCAAATGGTGCGCTTCTTAAGGGAAGGCGCACCTATGTGTGCACCCGGCCAGGCTGGCTAAATCAATGAAAACATGTGTGAATAGCTCAAAAAGAAGGTGAAAATCACTTGTGATCTCACTACCCAGCTATCAGAACACTCAGTGCCGTTAAGTCTGTGCCGACTTGTAACCCCCTGTAGAGCAGGGTAGACTGCCCCTGTCTCCCAAGGGGGAACCGTTTACAGAAGCAGAAAGCCTGCAGCCATAGAAAACGATTTGGGGTCTTTAAGGGGGCTTCCCAAAGTTCATGGGAAAATGGAATTGAAAGATAATGGAATTTCCCCATGAACTTACTGAAGCCCTCTCATCCCTTCCAGACTTTCCCCTGCTAAGTGTATACATTTTCACATTAGAAAATCTAGATCAACTGTACCTATTATTTTTTTTAAAAACGTACTTCGTCGTGTTTGGGGTGGGAGTTTACACAGTAAATTAGGTCCCCATTGAACAATTTCTACACGAATTATTCAGCGATACTGTTTACATTTTTCACAATGGGTCATCATTCTCATTCATTCCATTCTGGCTGTATCATATCTAGGACTTTAGCTTACCTGCCACTTACCTTAAATAATTTCTCACAACTTGGTCCTCCTACATTGATTTATTTGTTGTCGCTAAAGAAGTCCGTTAGTCACGAGTGGTAGTCTTGCTTTTATGATCCAGTCTGTTATTGAGCTAAGCGGTGACCTCAAGAGATAATTTTAGTTTTAAAGATTATCTCTGGGTGGTAGCTTCAAGGAGTCCTCTAACTGGTTCAGTAAGTCTGGATTTTCTCTCTCTCTGATTCTGTGAGGATCCATCGACTGGGTCCTGGTCAGCATAGTCAGTAGTGGTAGTTGGGCACCATGTAGTTCTTCTGGGCTTCTGGTAGATAAGGGCGTGGTTCCTGTCAACTACTGGTCTTGTAGGTGATTTTCTTGTCTGAGTCTTTGGTTTCTTTTATTCTTGTTTTCTAGATAAGTAGAGACAAATGTTGTAGACGGCTGCTTGCAAGCTGTTAGGACACTATTGATTATATTGGGATGTAGGACCTATGCTTTGGGAACTATAGTATGGCAGTGGAGTTGTCCCATGAGTCTGTCTTCACACACACACCCCCAACCAATATTGTTTGAATGTGTCTAAGAAAAGCCCATACCCCCTATGTAGTATATATGCATGGATACAAACACATATCTGTATATAAATATGCCAATAGATATTTCTATGGATACATTGTTCCCACGTGTTCAAACTCATGTACTTAGGTGCCTACATGCACATTTGCATCACCACACCCTTTTATGGGTGGTTGTTTCCAAATTACATTTGTTATATCCTTTACCAAAGACATCTTTTCCTCATGTGCATGCCACAGGAACTTCAGTAGCCTTGATTATGCTGTATGCACGTCACCGGATTTGATGCTATCGTTGCTGCTTTTCCTGTCACCAAAACTAGCCAGTGTCTACTCTCTTGAGAGTGCTTCCTGCTCCACCCTCCCCACACCTCTGGTGATGACCCATCAGCATTGGTCTCGGCATATGTATGTCCTCTTAGAAATGTGTGCTCAGACAATATTGGTCCTTTCACGGTTGACGTATTTCTCTTGCGCTAATGTTTTCCAGATTCATCCACATTATCTGATGCCTTGAGTACTCACCGTTATTCTCTACGGTGACATGACACAGTATTCTGTTGTGTGTGGGTGTGCCACATTGTGTTTAGCCATTCACCTGTTGACAGGCACTTAGATGGCTCACAGGTGTGTATATCTCTATTCCTGTCACTGTGACTGGGTTTCTAGGCTAGCTACCTAGAAGTGGGATTGCTGCATCATAAGGTATTTCTAGCTTTTTGAGGCAGCACCATGTCCTTTGCATAGTGGTTGCACCATTCGTGGAGAAGGGTTGTAACCTCCTGGCATTCATGCCCATACTTGTCTGTTTGTTTGCTTGCATATCAGAACCCCTTTTTCAGGGTGAGGTAGTGTCTCACTATAGTTTTGATATACATCGCTGGCGTGGCTAACGATTGTGAGCCTCTTTTCAGGTGTTTCCGGGCCGATTGTCCTGTGTGGTGAAGCATCTGTTTGTGTTCTCTGCCTGTTTTAAATTTGGCTGCTTGCCTTTATTGTTCAGCTGTTGTTTTAAGACAGTGGTTCTCAACCTTCCCAGTACCGTGACCCTTTAATACAGTTCATGTATTATGGGTAACGACCCAGCCATAAAATTATTTTCGTTGCTACTTAATCACTGTAATTTTGCAACTGTTATGAATCGGGCGACCCCTGTGAAAGGGTCATTGGGCCCCTAAAGGGGTCACAACCAAGGTTGAGAACCGCTGTTTTAAGACATTTTTACATTTACAACATCATGAGCATTTTTTTCATAAAACCCCGTCACTCTTGATTATGTAGAGTGTGGCACACTGGTCTTTGATAGCGCTTGCCCCCTTTTCCTCAGGCAGGCAGCCTGGTGTCTTTCTGTAGCAAGAACTATGATGAAAAACAAATGCAATGTCTAAAGTAAAGACAAGGAGACCACTAATCATGGGGGAGAGTGGATTACTCAGCTTTGACCATCATTTGATCTGCAGGGTGCGTGTGAGGACATCAATCCTGCCCGCCCTGGCTCTCTGGAGGAGGTTCCTGGACACAATCCTTTTGTTCTAAACAGTCTTCTCTCTTGCTGCGGCAGGACTATGGCAGACCAGGAAGCCACTCAGAGCGGCTCTCTGAGCCTGCCTTCAGCTCATGACCTAAGAGACAACTTCCTGCAGATGCCCAGCCAGGAGGCCAGCAGCGCGGCGTTTAGTTCTCTGGAAGCCTTTTCTTCGCCTCGTTCCTCTGATGTGGATCCAGGTAAGCAGCAGAGTTTAAAACAAATGGACAGATACACAGGTAGGTTTGCCAAGGTTTGCTTCTCTCTTGTCAAACAGCAGTTCTCTGAGGACGAATTGATTGTCTTGGGTAGGAAAACACCTCCCCTCAGCAAAGCTGTGGGCAGAGACTTCAAAGGAAATCTCCCTGGTGTGACATCCACGAGGGGTGGCTTCCTGGCAGCCCTCTTTTTTTTTTTTTTTTTTTTCTTGGGTCCCTTTCTGATCTCTGGCCAAACGTATCCAGCCACTGGGTACCCTTGGTTCAATCAGGAGAATGTGCGGCTATTTTCTTGTGGTCTTTTACAATGTCACCAGAAAATGTCAGCGTGGGCTCATTATGTGTTATATTCTCAAAACGCACTGCCATCGAGCCGATTCCAACTCATGGCCACCCTATAGGACCGAATGGAACGGCCCCTTTGGGTTTCTGAGACTAAATCTTTACAGGAGTAGGAAGCCTATAGGTAATCCATCATATTGGGTCTTGAGCATTCCTTTTATGGAGCATCCCCAGGATTTAAGTGACAATTTTCCTAACCTCTATTCCTGTGGTTATGTTAAGGAGACTGGGTGAATGTGGGGCGTGTCTTACATCAATCTCTTTTGAGATATAGAAGGGATTAAAGCAGGGAGGAAAGACTTGTGAAAATCTTTCTAGAGCCAGCGAGCAGAAGCTGAGGAGAGATGGCCCTTTGCCTAGAGCCATCAAAGAGAGAATGCTTTCCTCTAGACTAGAGCCAATGCCCTGGATTTGAGCTTTTAGCCTCCTCAGTCTGCGAGAAAATAGATGTATGTTTGTTAAAGATGCCCACGTGTGGGACTTCTGTTCTAGCAACAGTGGGCACCTAAGATGCCATGTGTGGTTGTAATGCTCACCCCTGCCCTGTTCATTACCCAGTCTTCTCCCAGAGGGCACAAGCTCCGAAGCTTGGGGCATGGGCTTGAACCCCTCTCCACAACAGTGCCCTCATCTACAAAATGGCACTGAGAATGCTCTCTTCGTAGAGGGCTCAGCCAGTGTAGCCATCGTGATTATTATTACCTTTACTGTTGTCATTATTAAAGAGACCTGGTGGGGTGGTAGATGGTCGATAACACGCTTCACTGCTAACCACCCCCCCCCCAGTCAATCCTCAATAAAAAGATGAAGATGTCTGTTCCACTAAAGATCTGTAGCCTCAGAAATACAAAGGGACTCTGTACTGCAGGGTTTCAGTCAGTCCAAATAGACTCCATGGTCTTGGGTTGCTTTCAGTATTACGGCTGTTGTTATCACGATATATATATGCATGTATCATTATAATAGTAAATACATATATACCCAACCCATGGCCATCCTGTCCTTTCTGACATGTAGTTACCCTGTATAGAGTTTCTGAGGCGGAAGTCTTTATGGGAGCAGACAGCTCCGTGTTTAAGCACCGCGCTGCGAACTAAAGCGTTGGCAATTCAAACCCACTCAGTGGCTCTGTGGGAGGAAGGCGTGGTGATCAGTTCCTGTATCGATTACAGCCTGGAAAACCCTGAGAGGCCGTTCTCCTAGGGGTCTCTCTGAGTCGAAATGGATTCGCAGCACCTGACAGCAGTAGTCATGCTAATGAATCCCAGTGGTGGCGGTTGGCACCATGTCTACTTGTCAGTGTCTTCAAGGATTCTCTGGGTGGGGGGTAGAAACCAGAAAAGCACGCTCCTTATTTATTTAGTTTAATGTAAGGAGAACATTTCTTAAGGTTTAAAAGAGACAAAGACACAGGCGCATCATCCAGATGAGGGAGGCCATTAGCAGGAAGTTAAAACGGTGTCCAAGGGTTCCTTGAGATACAGAGCTCTTAAAAAAAGGCATGGGGCAGGGCCAGGAGGCAAAGGAGACTGTCACAAAAGCATGATCCGTGGCGGGTCAATCCGTCACTATCACAGGTGGGGCTACAGAAGCAGGAGAGCGATGACATTGTCGTTTACAAGATTGGTCCAGGGCCTGCCAACCAAGGCCGTCAGGGCGAGACTGATAAGACTGATAAGGCGTGACTCCCGACTAGGAGACCTCCTCTACTGTCCCCAGTTCCCCAGTGCGGTGATCTCCATCAGGGACCTACCCAGGCAAGTCCCTAAGAGAGAGACTCCCCCGCCCTGGCTGCCTATGGAGGGGTGGAGATAATCTACTTTCCATGGCAGTCTGCTTGATTATCCACATCACTGATTAATGGTCAGAAAGAATTTAATGGAGGCTTAATCTCTCTGGGGACTCTGCAAATGGATTTTGGGCAACCACTGCCATCCATAGCCTTTTCTTACATTAGGGCTATGATTAAGTGAGAGCTCAAAATCCATTTATATTTAAGGTTTCTATAGCTCTGTGGTCTACAGTAAGGAGCCCTGGTGGCATGGTGATTACATGTTGAGCTGCTACCTGCAAGGTCAGCCGTTTGAAACCACCAGGTGCTCCAAGGGAGAAAGATGAGACTTTCTACACCCATAATGAGTTACAGTAAAAAAAAAGAAGAGAGTTACAGTCTTGGAACCCCCAGAGGCAGTTTTACCCTGTCCTATGGGGTTGCCGTGAGTCATCATCAATTTGCTGGCAGTGAGTTTCAGTCGTGATGGTTGACTTTAGAGGCTACACCATTAGCCTTTTGAGAAACAATGTAAAGAAACTCCATGGGACATGTGGTAATTCCAAGATTAATGTCATTAATCTAGCCTAAGGGTCAGCAAACTTCTGAGATGGGAGAGCCAATCCTGTTCCTCATAGCAATTAAAAAATTATTTGAGAGCCATAAATATGTTTTTACAAACAAATGAAATTACATAATCTGAATACTATCCTTTTAAAATGTTCAAGTTTACTTCAGAGCCACATGTACGTACTGAAAGAGCCACATATGGCATGAGAGACACAGTTTACAGACCTCTGATCTAGCCAATGGCATAGAATTGAAAATTCTAGTAAAAAAGGGGGAGGAGGGGGGCTATTTAGTCAAGACTTTTTGACGAAGATACATACAATAGTCACGTATACAGATCAAAACAAGTGACAGAACACTGTTTAAGAAAGCAACAAAGCCCACATGGAAGAAGCACACCAGCCTGTGTGACCACGAAGTGTCGAAGGGATCAGGGATCAGACATCAAAGAACAAAAAATCATATCATTGTAAATGAGGGTGAGTGCAGAGTGGAGACTCAAAGCCCATCAGTAGGCAACTGGACACCCCCTTACTGAAGGG